TTAATCTGTGACTGTCAGGACCAAACAAGTGATGGTCAAGTCTTGGAGAGGACCAGGTACTGACCAAGGGTTCAAATTCTGAGACTCCACTCTCTGGAAACAACATTATGTAGACTACTCATCAGCACCTCCTAGCAGCTATTGATAGAACTGCACAAAGTTTACCTTGCAGTTCTGCGGGACTCTGTACTCCTGTGTGACAGTGGAAGAACAGGGCAGTGCAGCGCAGGAAGGGCAGGACAGACTCACGGATGTAAGTCTGCAGCTGCCACCCAGACGGGACCACAGCCGTCTGCACACTAAAAAGTACAACAGAAATGTTAGAAAGGAGACAAATGTACAGTCAAACCTGTCCAAGCCGGCCACCCAGGGGACCTAAGAAAAGTGGACACCTTGGACAGGTGGTCTCCTTGAAGAGGGTCGCCTCACAACATGACTAAGACATTTATGGTTTCAAAGTCGAGATGTTTTAATGTCAAATGATGTCAGTTCTGTGTTGAATACATGTGGGGAGGGTGGCACATGGAACAATTTAACGTCGAACAAAAACAAAATCCAGCAGTCAAGGCAAACTGGCTGGTTTCTCCATGATTTCTCATTAGTTAATATCATCAATAGTCAAGTAATTGAAAATAATGTGGTCATCATGGGCAGGTATCAGGTCTTGTGCTGACCCAACTCAGGGCGGTCGCGTTTGCGTTGGCGAATTAAAGTGGTCACCTTGGACAGGTTGCTTAATGCTTGCATTTATGGGGAACATTATTGGGACCGAGAAAAAGCAGTCACCATGGACAGGTGGCCAGCTTGAAGTTTTATTTTTGTACGGCCATAATTTCGCAGCAGAAGGGAAAAGAACCGTTTGCACTCACCCTGCCTCTTTTCTGACAGCCATGAACAGTTTGACCCAGGCACTGCCTTCAGCTGTCTCCTCTGTGTCCATTGGAGCATCTAGGCAGGAAGAGAATGGAGATAAACCTTCAATTTCTGTCAATGTCTCAGTGTGTGTGGATTTTTATTTGCTAGCCACTCCACAGGTCAGGGGTCGAAATACTGGGTGTATAATTATGCATCTTAGTGCCAGGTAAAATTAGGGCTGTGCAGGTACAGTATTTCAAAGGTACCTAAGGCCACACCAATTTAATTTATTGGATTCGCCCGCTTCATTTTTTTCTGATTTGAAAAAAAAAAAATTCAGAATCAACTGCAAAATGCTCATATTTTGCCCTGAACAGTTGAAAACAGTCTTTTTCTTCCTAGTTGTTACAGTTATTCCATCTTTCAATGCAGTGGTATTATTAAAAGTTCAAAATTCATTGTTTAAATTTTGAACCAGCCTGGCGTGATGACTTCATGGCTCCTCTTTTTTTTTGCCCGCCCACTCCATTATTTTTCTAGAAAAATCTGTTAACCAAGAAATTAAATTGGTGTGGCCTAACCTGTAGTACAATGTAGTCCGGGTACTGGGTTTATAGATACGTGTATTACATATAATAGATTTGCTGCATTGACTGTTACCACCTATGGTTTCTGAACAGTTTAACTATGATACATACTTCCTAAATTCTACACGGTGCAGGTAAAATGTCTGGTGCAGGTTAATTTTCAATGTTACCTGCTCCAGTGTATGCATGCACAAAAAATATTTTGCACCCTGTAAGTGCTTCTGAATCAGTACTCTCACCTGCGGAGCTGAAATTTGCAGCCAGCAGGATCTGGACCAGGTGCGCAGCTGTAACCAGGTGCAGCAGGTGCTTGTCGTTCAGAGCCACCCCCCTGATGGTGCCACCTGCGGCGGTGTTCTCGTTGCAGTACAGACTGGGGATAGTCACGTGGAGGAACACCTGTGTGGGCACAAAGTAAGTACTTATTTATTTATTTATGAAGATTTACCACATTTGTGGAAGGATTGACATAACAGGTGACTATTGCCTCTTCAAGATGTCAAACCTGAGACCAGACTGTAAGACTCACACCGGGAAGGTTCCCTACTCTTTTTGATAAATTATACAATGTATATATAAGTGCGGTGTGTTCTTTAACGTGCGTGGGATTAAAGAATAAAAACCATACAACACACGTGTTTCACATGCCGTGTTAACTAGTTTATTTCTCTTGCAAAGTCGTTTAAAGCATGTTTAAAGCAAGTCGTCAACAGTCAAAGCTTTGTAATACAAGGTTAAAACTGGTGCAAAAGCTGTGTAAACCATGTGCATTAATAAGCTGCAATTGTGTGTGATTGTCTCTGTGACACATATTATCCACAAGCATGTGTCTACAAGCATTTTACAAGAGAAATGATTTTGCAGTGACTGACCAGTGTGAAGAACATGTCCAGGTCTAGGATACAGGGGATGTTCTTCATAGGCTCCTGGGGCAGTAATGCTGAAACAGCAGGTCATACTCAAGTAGTTAGTCACCAGGACAGATTCAAGCCTCCAGACTACAAATGCAGTTTCTGGACTAGCTTCTTTTATAGGAGCACCGGTCCTACCAACCAAAAAAATTTGGGCGCACCAGCAAAAATCGTGGCATACATGTACAACTATATGAAGTTAGATTTATAATATTATTAATAATTTTATCGAATGTTGATATGGAGGACATCACACGGATATTGCTTTTTTTTCACACAGAAACACACAAAGAGGAAGAATCCGATCAGAGAGCAAGAAGGCAGAATATGATTGACTGTTAAGCTTAAGTTTGCAGTCCATGATAAAGACATTATTATAGTGCAAGCAAATTTTTGATCGAAGCACTATATAGGTACTGGGTTACTCGGCACACAAGTTAATTTTTGGGAGCATATGCTCCCAAAATGAGAGCAGTGCGGAGGGCTCAGACTACACACGAAAAGGTAAGAATCAGCATTGTGAACACAACAAAATTTAATTGCTTGTGTGGTGCAGACAAGAACTGTTTGAACTGAGGCTTTCAACTTTGACCTTAAGCTGGTGTGTTACGTCGAAAGGCGGTTATACCGGCTATACATATTCAGATACAGATGCATGCAGGGCTGGAAATACTGGGTGCATGTGCACCTTAGTGCACCCAAAATTGGAGCTGTGCACCCAATTTTTTTCTGCGGGTGCACTGGTGCAATATTTTTGTAGGCATTTTTGTACATATTAAATGTATAATAGTATACAGTATATACTTGGCATCTAAGTGTCAAAAAATAATAAAATCTTTGCTGTAGCACTTGTTTAATATTTTGAAGTTAGCTCCCATTTCAGATTCAATCATAAAAGAGGAGCAGTAAGATTTTATATGGTGCACCCAAAAAAATTTTTGTGCACTTAATTTTTTAGGTTGGCTGCACCTGTGCACATATTCTCAAAAAATGAATTTGGAGCCCTGGCATGTAAATTTGAAAACGTGAATTGACAATATACGGTACCTGACAGCAGCCTGAGGGCACTCTTGCTAATGGTCTGTGGGTCGGACAGATTTCCACTGACCGTCACCACCCTCACCAGAGCTGTTATACAGTCAGCCTGCACAATACAGAACATAAAAAAACATACAGTACAGATCACAACTGCCATTAGAAATTTGTTTCTACTCAAAATTTTTCTCTATGGAGATAGAGAATTCAAGCACTTTCCTAGTCTTTCTCTCTCACAATTTACAGTATTGGGTACTGTAAGTTCATTTACATTTGGTCAAATTCAATTTCATGATAGAAGGGCAAACCACGTTTATGCAGTGTTTCTTGTAATGAGTACAGTAAATTCATTTACTTTTTGGTCAATTACATTTGATGATAGAAGGGCAAAGGAGGTTTTTGCAGTGTTTGTAGTAAGTTCACAGCTGAAACAATACATGTACATTCAATTTGGAATTTGCCGTATCACAAATTTGTAGCAGAGAGGTCACTGCAGAAATAAAACCACCACAAACTTTTTGAGAATTACGGTACTGTAACTTACTACATTTTGCAACAGGTAGAGACATGTCACTCACCTGTCTGGAGGACAGGGATCCAAACAGTGGTTTGCCTTCGTCTCGAAGTAGCCATTCTGAAAATACAAAAAGACAGCCTGTTCACAACCGATGATCATTTGATCAAAAACAAAAAATTCCAACACACAATCTAACACACAATGTACATGACATTGTATACATTCGTTGTACATCACAGTAGAGTCATTTGCACAGATTGTAAGCACTGCCACTATTCAAGAACAGACCTTTAGAAAATACTTCCATCCCTCTGTGGTGTATATAGAGATGCTGTGAATTTCTGGTTTCAGTCATTATATTATTATATTTACATGATTGTGAATTTTTCATGCATTTTCCCATTGGCAATTGAAGACTGGAAAGGGAGATAACCTTTTCTGGATCTTTCTGAGACCTTTGACCTAGCTTCCTGACATAGTCTCCGACATCCTTAGCATGTGGAAACAACTACAGAAACACACACAAACACACACACACACACACACACACAAACACACACACACACACTACACACCAAACACAGACGCACGCGCGCACACACACACACACACACACACACACGCCACACACACACTACACACACTTCACACACACACACACACACACTACACACACACGCTACACACACACTACACACACTACACACACACATACACACACAGACACACTACACACACACACACACTTTGCTTGCTTACTTTTGCTTAAGGCGGATGACGTCCCTCATTGTTGACTCTCTGACTCTCTCTCTCTGTGTATTCTTCACACACACTACACACACAAACACACTACACACACACACACTACACACACACCCGGGTTGTGATAACCTTTGATAACGGTGTTCAGGACCAGGCCATACTTTACAGTAAAGCCTGGGCTTCCATAGCTTCCATAGAAAGATTTGAACGCATTTTGCCCTAACCACGTGCGCTGCTTTCGAAAATTCCAATACAGGATTCGGACGTTGAAATTGATGTAACAGTTGCATTTTTTTTGTTACCTTGGGCGCTAATATCCCGTAACCAGGCGATCCAACCTGCGGTCAGGTTGGTACCTCGGTTGATACGGATGACCCTGTGCAGTATTGTATACCTAACACGTACCAAGTGTTCGTATCGTGTAGGCACACGTTCCCCAGGCTGTCATAGGCACCCTGTCATCATCATCGTTAGGATCCAGCCCCAGTCCAAACTGTGCAACAAAGAGATATAAAAATATGTAAAAAAAACTACAGAGCTACAGAAACATTTAGTAGCTTAAGATACCTTTGGTAGCTTCAGCTGCCTTTTCCAGTTGTACCCACCATCAGCAGTAAAATAAAGTACAGAAATATTTTTTCTTTACACAGTGTCTCTCAAAGCTGTGTTTTTCAATAACTTATCAGCAAAGCAAGTCATTGTTAATATTATTTTATATTGTTAGGCCACACCAATTTAATTTGTTGGTTCTCGGATTTTTTCAAAAAAAATATGAAGCGACAGGGCGAAAAAAAAATAAAAATAAAAACAGGTCTAGGCATCCTATTATAGCCCCAAATGCTACAATATGAGCCATGAAGTCAAGAAAAAAGGCTGGGTTAAAATTTAAAGTATAAATTTTGAACTTTTAATCAAACCACTGCATTGATAGATGGAAAAAACTGTAACAACTAGGAAGAAAAGGAATTTCCTCAACTGTTGGGGGCAAAATATGAGCATTTTTGAGTTGATTCAGAACAAGAATCTTTTTTATTTTTTTTGCAAATCAGAAAAAAATGAAGAGGCGAATCCGAGAACCAAGAAATTAAATTGGTGTGGCCTTACAGACTGCATTTATATGTGTTGCTGGTTACTCTGCCTTTGAGATAGAACTACATGTAGACAAGGCAGCTCCAGAGCCAAGCCTGTGTCTCTACATGACATGACATGGGGTTTCGTAAAGTTCCTGTCACACATTCAGGACCTTTCCACAACTTTGCTCCAAACCACTCCCAACCAAAGTCGGTGCTATAATTTGGGAGTATCCTGGAATCCATCCTATTCGAGCTCCAGTTTGCTCTTCTGATCAGATCCAAGCAGAATACGACTATTATGAATCCCGACTTTGGTTTTTCAAAAATTATAGTCGGATGGTTCACAGCCTCAACGACTGTTCCCACCACAAATGATCTTGCATGAAAGTTCATCTGAGTTGGTACAAAAAAATACATACAAAATAAGAATTAAACTGTTCTCCAAGTCAAGGAAATTATCTTAGCGACACTGGAATTTTTGACAACAATGCTTGGTCTTCCAACAAACTTTGACCCAGTGCTGACGTCACACGTGGACAAAAATCACGTGTCTACAGCACTTTGGTCAGATGGATGATGAAGACCGAGTGATTCGGTCCAAAATACCGGTGAGTCAATTTCCGTGAGTTGGGGAACAGTTAAATTCTTATCACACAGATGATCTTGCTCACGACTAACTCCCGATCATGGCAGTGATCTAGCCAGGCCTTTTTAGCATAGGGGCCCCCTATATATGCTATGATTTTGACCCCCTATGCTGTAAATTTGACCCCTATGCTGTCTCAACCTATAGGTCCTGGAGTGTTTTGGGAGGGAGAACCTTCATAAATCTTGCAATGAAAATGAAAATATAACTTAAGAATGAAGCTATCACAAAGGGAAAACCTTAACTTCACAAAATCTGTTCCACATTAAACAAGAAATAGTGTCTCAGGAGGTTATGAGTTTCAAAATATTTTGGCTCAATGCGCAACTTGCGCCATGAAATTTGCTCTTCTGTATACCTGACCCCTATCCTATTAAAAATTCCTGGTGAGAACCCTGCATGATCTGGAGCAGGTTGGGAGCCCATGGTCGGCTATGTGTGACAGGGAAGTACATTTGTAAGGATTGATATGCTGCAGACCCTACAGACAGCCTTCCAAAGTGTAGCTATATGTAGCATTGATCAGTTAGTTACATCCCCTTCCCACTAGTGACTGCAACTGCTGAGTGAATTATTTGACTCAATGAATTTCAACTTTGACAAAGACCAAATTTTTTAATGTTTTTTATTTTGTATCATATTCGAAATATAAAAGACATTTTGGACACTCAACGGTCGCTCAGTGATTGCTGTCCATGGCCAGTGGAAAGGGGGCTGAGGCAGCACGTCAGCAGAACGTACTGCGCCTGCGCGAAACCTGGAGGTTCCACGGTTTTCGTTGGAAGTTGGTCAACGTTTCAATAGAGTTTTGCTCATTGCAGACGATACCTCTTCCGACACAACATTTCAAAACTTTAGACTGGATGCCATCCTTGAATGCACTTCAAATACATCCTTAAAGGCCCGTTCTGCAGAAGTGCTGTGCACAATACGTTACGGGATTCCCACAGGCACAGTAAACTTTGCCGACGTGCTCGCCTAAGCAGAATAGGAGAATCAGGACGACTCGGACTATTACCAACTCGGCACAACGCAAATCTGGTCAACTCGGCCCACCGCCCTGGTCAACTCGGCCCATCGCAAATCTGGTCAACTCGGCCCACCGCCCCGGTCAACTCGGCCCAACCACCAAACTGACACAATATATTGCAAAATATATAGACAATCAAGTTTATTTTAATGGAGACAGTGCGTCTTTGTCAGATAATATTGAACTCTGTTGACTCTCAGGTTTTTGAAGGTGTGGGCCGAGCTGACCAGGGTGTTGGGCCGAGCTGACCATTGTGTTGGGCCAAGTTGACCAGGGAGATGGGCCGAGTTGAGTGGGCCGAGTTGGTATTGGTCCGAGTCGCCCGACACTCCAGAATACGTGGCAGCTGAATCACTTGCCTTGGTAGGAAGGGGCGGGTCATGCAGCATGTTCTGTTTTAGAGGAAGCACACAACAACGGCATGGTCAAACATTAAAAAAAATCAATCATGGCACTGGGTGGCGAGTAGACATCAATCACTTTCCGATTAGTGAAAATTACACAGCTCAAGTACTTTCCCAGTTGTGAATGGGGATGGGTTAAGAAATCAGTAGAGGGAATGACAGGCATTCTAGGATAATGCAATCAACCACAGGGACAAAGTCTTGAAGGCATCTAAAGTGATTTCAGGGCAGTAATTTAAAAACTTTCAACTTTCTGGTATCTGTATCTGTATCCGTATCGGTATAGCCGGTATAACCGCTCTTCGACGTAACACACCAGCTTCGCAGGCACGCGGCGTGGCGGCAGCTAGCTATATATATCACACCGAACG